CCCCTTCCCCAAGACAGACACAGTTGCACAAGTACCCATGTCACGAGTTTTGCTTGTCCACAGCTTAAGGTGCAGTTTCCCCCAAACCCCTGCACTTATCTCCTTGAAACTTGTCAGGCTTTGTGGCCCCAGCAGGGGCTACCACCCCTGCAGTTTTCAGCCCGCTGCGCCTTAACCCACACAGTGTCATCTGTCACAAGTTTTGCCTGTCAGCAGCTAGAGGTGCAGTTTCCCCCAAACCTCTGCACCTATCAGCTTGAAACTTGGCAGGCTTTGTGGCCTCAGCAGGGGCTACCACCCCTGAAGTCTTGACCCCAGTGTGTCTTAACACATACACGTGACACTAGTTTTGTTTTCAGAATTTTGGGATGCAGTTTCTCTGAACCCCCTGCACCTATCTTCTTGAAACTTGGCACATGTCATGCCCTTAGAACGGGCTACCACTCTGCCATGTTTCATCCAAATCTGGCCAGAACAAAGTTATAGCCTCTTTTGACCTTCCCCATGATCTCCTATGGGCGAAATGTTGAAACAGGGTCGAAACAGCAAAAGATTTTGACAGAACGAAATGGTACAGCCATTTTGACTTGAAACAAAAGTTGATACAAAACACTGTTCTGTCAAAACATCAAAACACTGGTCAAAACAGAATGCTTTTGTTTTGCACAGCCCTAATGTGAAGTGAGATAACAAAGTTATAGAAAAGTATACTAATAAACTAAGACACTATTTGAAAAGAGGTTCTTAGTGATAATAAACTTACATTTTACGCAACTGAGGAAGCTTCTTAAAGATCCCAGTAGCTTCTAGTACCGTGAATTCATTGTTATTGAGTCGTCTATAAGAAACAGCAACAATATAGTCAGAAAAGTACTCCAGCATATGAGTTGACTATTTTTTAAACCAGATTTATTTTTCAAGATACCTTAACCAAAATACCTGCAGTACCTGAATAACATGCCATTTTTAGTTCTGTAACCCCTACACTCCAATTTCAATTCTAATTCACAAGACCAACAAGATCAGGAGCAGAATGTAAGTATTACAAACATAAAAACAAAAGGAAAATATAAGAAAGATGTTAAGAAAGCTCCCCCTCTCTCTGTTAAATAAAAAAAGATGCATCAAAAAATGGTTCCACAGAAACTTGTCAGTAAAACTCTTTAAAAAATATATGTAAACACCTGCACATTGGTCTAGTTTTTATAACAGGATTCTGGTGGGGTTGGTCAGATATCTGGAGACTCCTACTGAAGTGTGGGGATGCTGATACATGAGATACAGAGGCTGGCTAGAGTGCAGTAACTACCACGCTCCAGCAGACTCAGTTAATTACAGCATGTCAGAGCAGCCTCCACGCTTGTGTATAGGGCAGGGTAGATAAAACACATTAAAAAAAGAACTTAAAAAGAAGTATTTTATTTAAATCAGGTTTTTTTGATTTAATAATATTTTATGTTAAGATGCTTAAAAAAATTAACTTATATAAAATACTTTTAATTTATGATGTGTTAAAGCTCAAAGATGTCATCATGGAATAGGGATTAAAACTTCTAATTATATACTATTTGAGACAAAATATTCATGTAACCTTTTTAGAAGTTTTATAAATAGGTCTTCATAGGCCATGGACTATATTAGGAGTCCAATCTTATGGCGTTCCCAGATGCTCCTCTACAGATTAGTAAAGATGAAAGAAAACCACTCT